CCCACACCACACACACACACCCCCCTCACCCGCCGCACCGCCGATTGGGCGGCGCTGCGGCAGCGCGGGCGGCGATTGGCCGAGAGCGGCGGGCTGCGGGAACTAGACCGGCGGTCCAAGAGAGGGGGCGGGGCTGGCGAGCGAGGACGGGGATTGGGCGGAGGGGAGACTGGCAGCGGCGCGTGCGCGCGGCCGCCTCCTCGGTCCGTTGCCCGCTCGCGGGCTCCAACGGCCGCCGCGCTCCTGAGGGGACCGCAGGGCGCCCTCCCGCCCACGGCGGCCCCCTCACAGGGAAGGGCGGCTGCACGACGAGCCGGTCAGTCGGATCCGGCGCTGCTCCTGCGTCGTTTCGTGTCCCGGAGCGCTGCAGGCCGTTGGTGGCGGCCGGCTTGCCCTTGTCAGGGTGGTGGGCCACGGGCCGCGCTCGCAGTCCGTAGAGCCCGAGGCTCCAAGGACGCGGCCGCCGGGCCGCCTGTCCCGAAAAGGGTCACTGCGCCGCGCTGCGGCGTTTATTTCAAATCGTGTCGGTGCTGCCTTTGCACGCAGATAACTTCTGGGGAAATGCCGGATCTGAGCGGCAATGAAGTGCTGGCAGTTGCCTGTAAAGGGAAGAGGGGCGTGTGTGGGAAAAAAGTCGTTAACTATGAGATCCAAGCGGTGGTGAGTTTCCCAGTTTGAAAAAAGCAAGCGCTGCATGTGCTAGCGGTGACTTCGGCACTTCGTGGATGCAGAATTTAAGGGAGAAAGACATGAACAGGAAACTTGTCTTTTTCCCCATCTACTCCTACTTAGTTTGAACACACGTTTGGTAATATTTACCCATTCCACATTTTCTACATAAGTGGATGTTGCTTAGAAATAGAAATAGGGTTTTCTATGTGCATCTTGTCTTATTGGGGGGTACACCGATACCTAACATGCAATTATGTACAACTCATTGGTACAACTAAACCCACCCAACAGCTTGATGATGTTAAGGGAGATGGGTTGTCTTCTCCTCTCTGATCTCAACCATTCATTCCCATGTGCTAGCATTCATCTAGCCTGGTAAGAGGGCAGGGAACAAAGGCAAAAGAAAGCTATACGCAAAAGCAGTTTGCTTCTTCAGAAGCAGACAAGCTTTAAGGAGGTATCTGCATTTTTGGGGATAGTCTGATGATGATACCCTTTGTCTTTTGGATTATAGGATCTTGAAGGCTAACTACTGGTAAGCTGTGAAACAGCAGGTATGATGGCCTTTAGCAAATAGGTATGGGACAAAAGGATAGTTATTTCATGAGAAAAGGTGTGTGTGTGGGGTGTACTTTGTCAGTGATGGCTGCAGTGGATATCATTCCACATGCTCCTTCTCCATGTCCAGCTCTTCCACTCACTACAGTACAGATTCCCACTTCACCGCACCTCTGGAGTACCACACTGCAGGGATTGGTGCAATCCTGCCACACGGATGGATTTGGTGGGCCTGCAGAAACAGTAGTGCGTGGAAATCCTGCTTTTGTGAACAGATACTGTTGAAAGCTCGCCAAGAGGTGTGGAGGGGCAGTCCTGCCTGATGTAGCTCACTGTATCCCTTTTTGCCTTACGTGTTTTAAAAGACCTAAGTCTTCTTAAGAGATGGGAGGATTGCAGCAGCCATAATCCTGCAGGACCATCCCTTGTGTAGCTCTGCAGCGGTGCTGTCATCTCTGCACTGACTCCCTCTGGAACCATGCCATGGTCCAAAATCTGGGCTATTTACTGAGCCAGAGGACTGAAAGAACTGAGTTAAGAGCTCCTTTCCAATGACATCAGTAGATTTGGAAACAGGTGAAGTTTGTGGTAGTTGGTGCTTTCAACTTCCATATCCTTACAGTTCTTATGACTTGCCTGTTGTATTCAGGCACTGTGCTTTTCACTCTGCTGAAACCTAATCTGCATTTTCAGAAAATATATTTGTACCCTTCCACATACTCAGAGTGGCAAGCATCAGTATTTTTTCATTTGTGAGCATTTCTGGGTTTGCTCCCTCCTTGATACCCCACTTCTCTTGATCAGTTCTGTTCCCGTACTCCCTTTTTCTTACCCCACTCACCTTTTGGACCCTCCTCTATTTATTTATCTTGTTTCCGTTAACCTGCACTCTGTCACTCTGTACTCATTTAGGAGAGCTCACTACTGCAGGGTTCCTGCTCCCCCCCTTCAGCTGCTTTATTTACTGCCTCTAACTGCAATAGGGCTGTTCCACCTTAGGATGCCCTCCAAGCTTGCTCAGTCTGTGTTGCAGCAGGAACACAGAACTCATCCTGCCTGGGCACAGGTGTTCTTTAAACTTGCAGAAAAAACTATGACTTTCTTTTCTTCCACTTGTTCTTTGGAAGGAATTGGCTAATAGTCCTCATTCCATCAGGATCCCATAAGTGCTTCATTTTATCTTGACTGGGACACTCAAAATACAGACAAATACAGAGCTTTCAGGGAACTTTGACGTTTCTCCACGCTCTAGGACTTGGTGATACTGCCGAGTGGCTTTCGAGAGCACCCTGGGATACTGCTACTCAACCAGTAGCAGCTTAAGCAGAGGTGAGAGGAGCTGGATTGCAGTAAGGCTGTCTTTGCATTTCTGCCCAGGTGAAGTTCACCGCCTCTGGAGTGCTCTGGCGCAGAGGGAGAGCACACCTTCAGCTGTGAAAATCTAATCAGGGCATTGTGCATTAAACTTGGACTCCTGCCGTTTATATACTTGGGGCTGAACAGCTTCGCACACTAAGTGGCCCTTTGCTGAAGTTCTCTCCCCCTCCAACAATCTTAAGTGTAACCTTCAGGTTGTGATTTCACTGTGCAGTGTTCCGTAGCAGCAGTAGCATTAGGGATTAGGGCTTTGCCTCTGCATTCCCTGGTCCTACTCCAGCTTCTTCATTTCTACAGTGTTTGCAAGCTGTGCTGTGAACTACAAAGGAGTTCAGAGAACTTTGGGACAAGTGACGTACACCATGCACCTATGCACTGGCTGTACTCCAGGCCTGCTTTATGTCTCACTTCACCAGATACTCCTTCAAATCAAATGCAGCCTTTGTATCAGTTTAGATGATAAATTACATTAATTTTATTGTAAATGAATTAACAACAGACATGGTCAATGAATGCAGCACATCAGGTACAGCCTAGGTTCTGAAAGAGAAAATACCAGACGGGAGAACTGCAAGCACCAATAGAGTATGTGTGTGCAGCGAGATCAGGAACAGACGTTGAGGGAGGCTGCAAAAATGGAACATGTCTGTCTTTTGTTGCCTATATCTGCTTTTCTGTGATGGAGGAAAAACCATGATGAATTTCATGTAGTAAACGTAACTCAACAGTCAAGTATTTTTATGATAATACAGTACATACAAACCCATGAAGACTCTGCTCCTCGGATTCCAAATACAGAACAGCTCTGACTTGCACATTCAATTCCTGTAACAGCAATTACCAGTATAATTACGTGCTCTGTCCTTTGGCAAATCAGGACCTTCCCGAGGAGTTTTTTTGAAGTGTGTCCAGTGTTTGCAGTGGGCATGCTTCCACATGTACAGCATAGACTTTGCTGCCCACAGAGGTTACAAAGTACATTCAGTTCAACCTTACACTTGTTCCTACTCCCTCCTGCATTTTCACAACGATCGTACTTTGCAATATTCAGATAGAAACACTGGCAAAATATTAGTAGAAGCAAATTAAGGAACTAATTCGGTTCACAGGGGCTACTGACATCACAGGCTTATGCCATACAGGTCCAGGTATGCAGCTGGCAGGGATGCACTCTATAGATACTTCTTTTCTGAAGGAATGGGTTTGATGTATGAGTGTAGGTCACCTCCCGTTCCCATTCACTTCAGTGGGAACAGGTCTGACTGCCGTCATCATGGAACAAATGGGTACTAAGAAAGTGACTTTCAAAACCACATTTAAATTAAGACATGAAGTTAAGAGTAAAGAGCAGCGTCTGCAGAACGTTCTTTTTGCATAAATGCATTATGTGGGTACAAGGGTAGTATTAAATTATTCAGAACGACGCTTTCCTCTGGAAATTGCCCCTAATAAGCGGTTCAATATGGGAGCATAAGGGGTGAAAGTTCATAAAAACTTTGGAAGTAAACTGGTTACTTCTAAAAGTGACTGGAGAGCTCAGTACAAACGGTTCAACAGCCTGCTGTGTGACAGCATTAAGCACATGTTGTTTCACTTCCAGTTGGAACAAAACTGAAAGACTCCCAACTTACCCTGTGCTCTCTCCAAAGATGGCAAGGAGTGTTCTCAAAGCAATGCGTAGTCTTGGAACCACTTCAGTCAGATTCCTCTTGTCTGCTGTGAGGACAAGAGCTCAGGCCTCAGAAAGTGAGGCTGGTTCTTTCTGTGTTACCCAAACTTTCCCAGCAGAATAATATTCCTTAGTAAAAAGATGATGGATAGGCCTCGGATATGCAACAATTGTAGTTCAGTTCCTAGCAAACAGCAAATACTATTGGGGGGGGGACACGGGGGACAGGTGACGGACTTAAAGATCTCAGACCTTCTAACTAGAAGGATTCCAGAAGTAAAACAGGAAAATGTTTTCATCAGTCAAGCGATCAATGCCAGCAAAGCATTTTTCCTAAATTAGTTCAGAGCACCTCTAGATACTGAAAAATATTGAGGGCTGAAGTTCACTAAGAAATGTTTTCTTACACCTAAACAGCTAAAAATACCCAGAGTAGGTAAACCCCAAACTTAATCTCCTCCCTTCCAAGAACAAGAAGCCCTTTAGAATAATTATCTTTCACAGACATCTCTTGCTGGGCAAGGAAATGCACAGGGAAGCACAGGAATCAATCACGTGTTTTACAGTCCTGCTGGTTGAAATAGAATCCATTTCTGCAGTGTCTCACATCCTCAGGACAGATATCTACGCTATTGAACAGGCTTTCAGCAGAGTCACTGGGGAAGCTTACTGCCATCTCCATTTGCAGCATGCTCCTGTCTGGGGAAAGAAAGGGAGCACCTGGAGCCATTGCTGTGGTCTCAGATCTATAGGCACTGCTTGCTGTCTGTCCAAAGGAAAAAAAAATGTAAAAGGACTCGAGTTTAATGATGTTTTATTCATTCTTTCCCATGGCTGAGGCCTCTCGCAAGCCATGCAAAGTCCTAGGTCAAAGCTTTAGTTGCACTGTCACTTTAATCTGGTACATGCGGCAGTGCTGCTGAGTCACCCCTCAGTTCTCTACCCTCATTTACTTACTCCTGTCCCTCCCTGGTGCTGGAACAAGCATTTTTCTAGCTCTGTAGTAAACTGATCTGTATTACAAATGACACGATTTCTTTAGTTGTGTTTACTGCATCAGCACTGGTACTTATGCCAGTACAAGCGGAGTGCCAGAGCACTGCTGTTTATTCATGCTTGTGGAGTTACCACTGCAATTCTACTTCTCACAAATTCAAAGCTCAGAACTGAATTCCAGAAAGGGTGGAAATTCTCTAAATACAGTTTTGCATCACTGAGGAGGCTGCTTTCTATGATTTTGCTAGTCCTGTGTCCACAGCACATCAACAGCACTTGTAATAATGTTAAAATAGGAAGTCTGTACATGGTTGTTCAAAACCTGCAAATTCATTCTGGCTTTCTGCATACTAATTTGTGCAGACAGGCCCAAAGCTGTCTGCATGGAACAGGGCCAAAAGGCTTTGTGCTAAAAAATAAAATATATAAAGAAGTACCTACCACTGGTTCAACCCTTATCTCAAAAATCCCTTGAATATAGGGCTGAAGAGTATGCTCATGCATATATAGTGATAGGTAGAGAGATCTTGTGATGCGTTTAGGCAACTCCC